ACCGACTGCGCCACCCAGGCGCCCCACGCTGTCTGTTTTCATTGTCGCTGGGCATTCCAACCAAGATTTCCTATGTAGGTTCTTGTAGGGAAGCTAGCTCTTCTCACCCTGAAATGATTTTGGATGCGGTCTCAGAGCACATTTAAGGCCCCTGTCAGCCACTGGCACAGGCCTCAGGAGGTGGTTTTTATACCTCCCGAGTGAAGAGAGCTCCACAGATGGGCCTAGCAGCCCCTTCCTTTAAAATCCACCCGGAATCTTCTCTCAGTCCCTGAGGAAGACAGGATGGCTATTCTGGCCCCTATTTGACAGATGGGGAAACCGAGGGTCATAGAGTAAGTGGCCGAGCTGAAACCTGACCATCCACCAGCCCCCTTCCCAACCCCCCCCCCCCACCCAAGGGCATGTGTCCTCATGGTTGGAGTGCAAAACTTGCAGGAAATAGGGCTGGAATTTGAAGCCTGTTGGAAAAAACCCTTCAAGCTACGATCCCATGTACAGTACGCAGAAATGTGGCAGAGGGAGATTCTTGGGGGGCAACTAGTGGGAACCTGCTCAGAAATGGGGAGAGGGCTTTTACAGGGATACAGGAGTGCGTGCGTCAGAAAAACCAAGGGCTGAGAGGAGGTCTGGCCTCAAAAGGGAACCGGTAAGCCTCAGGTCCCAGGCATCATCTCCCTACCGCACCCCTTCTCTGCGTCTCCCTGTACCTGCTCATCTCTACTTTCTCCAGTCATATGTGATGGGAAGAGATGACCTCACCATTTCCCTCTCCCTGGCCCCAGCTTAAAGGACCGACTCAGGGAGCAAGTAGCATCTCAGAGCCGATACCCCCAAATCCTGGGTGTGATCATCTGAAAAGCACAGCCCGTGCCAAGCATCCAATCAACTGTGACCAGGGACAGCGTCACACGAGGTGTCGGGGAGGAGGGGCAGTGCTCAGAAAAGACCTAGACAGACCCCTCCAACATCAGAGACGTAAGACACAGGCACTTAGGTGACAGCTTTCCAGGAGACAGAGATTCCATCACAATGAATGTGCCCATCATAAGAAGCTCGTAGTTTTCAAAACCACAAAACTGTAAAAAAGGGGGAAATGTTAGTTGTATATCTGGAAGCGTGCACAACAAAACATTGTGATACTTACCTTCGGGTAGTGTGATCACGGTGAATCGTTTTAGCTTCTTTTTTCTTTCAAGTTTATTTATTTTTGAATGAGAGAGGGCAGAGGAGGGGCAGAGAGATAGGGGGACAGAGAATTTCAAGCGGGCTCTGCACTGACAGCAGAGAGCCAGACGCGGGGCTCGAACTCACAAACTATGAGATCATGACCTGAGCCAAAGTCGGATGCATAACCGACTGAGCCACCCAGGTGCCCCTCACTTTAGTTTCTTTTTATGTATCTCTGTCTCTCCCTCCCTCCCTCTCTCCCTCTCTCTCTATAATTATTAATATATATATATATACATATATAATAGTATATATATAATAGTATATTAGTATAGTATATAGTATATTTTTTTTGTATTATATATATTATTTATATATTTTATATAATATATATATTATATATATATATTAGTATATATATATAAGTATATATTAGTATATATATATTATATATAGTAATAGTATATATAGTATATATATAGTATATATAATAATACATAATATTAATAAATATAATATATATAAATATGATTAATATATATCATGTATTTTTACAGCAAACATTTTTCTTTCAGTAAAAAAAAAAAAAAAATCATTTGAGTGGAACATTTTGACACCTTGCCCCAATTACAGAATCTGTGCATGTGTTTCTCTTGTCATTGAAGGTTGGAGCCAGAAAAGCCACCCAAAAGATGGACCAAGAAAGGGAGACACCGAAGGGAGAAACATCCAGCAAATCCAGCCAGAGCCTTCTGTTTTCCAAGCCCGGTAGCAGGAACTAGAAATGCCATCCCGTCGGGCCTTGCGTGATGCTCCGTGAGTCCCATATGTGACCCTTCTGTGTCAAAATAGTAAGATGCTTTTATAGGACTTTAAAGGTTGTTACCCCAGTATGTTGCTTCCTAGACTGATATTTGCGCGATGCTGTATTTTGGAAGGTGCAGGGAGAGGGGTTCTTTTTGAAATTACTTACGCGGGTATTCACCCTCAGGCGTACGAAAAATGTAAGTTGGAAGCAGACTCCTAGGCCCGGCGGACACAGTTCTGGGGTTCCACCTTTGAGTCGTGAGGTACCCACACATCCACCTCCGCAGAGCTCCAAGAAACCCACAGCTGGCAAAACGCAAGACCGGTCCTGGGGCCACAGGGCAGAATGCCAGCCTCAGGTCTGAGGCTGTCTGTGGTACAGCACATTCATATTGAGTTTATTATAATAAGATGAGCGTGCCCAGTTGTCTTACCGCGTCTGTAATAATGTGGCACTCTTCTCCCCTAACCCCCCCCCCCAAACTCTGGGAGGTAAATTGTATCATGATCCCCATTTTACAGATGCAGAAGGCCCCAGAGAGGTTAAAGTGCCTGTCTAGATTCACAAGTGGGGCCTGGACCCCGGTTTCTGATTCCCCTCCCATACTGCCCGTTCTGCTCTCCCAGTTTGTCAGGAGCCAGTCACCCAGGACAGACCAAGCACCCAGGCGCCCCAGGGCACACACTGCCCAGGGGGACACACCCCTTTTTCGCAGGGTTTGGAGAAACCCTCATTTTTCTTGCTCCCGTGTTCTGCCCTCTCTCCGTCCATCTGTCCGCTTGCTGCCTCTCTGGTGTGGCCGGGACAGCCAAACAAAATGGGAGGAAGAGCCAGAAGTCACGAATGCCATTTCTTTTTTTTATTATTATTATTTTTAAGAAGCCACAATAAAAATATTTTGATATTTTAAAGCCAAACGGATTCTTTATACCGATCAAACCCGGAAGGAGATAGGGTATGTTCTTTGTGTGATATTCCACTGAAAGCACATCTTATGCAGGGCTAGGAGCTAAAGACAGTGAGAAAGGTATACCTGACCTTAAAAATACTCCCGAAGATCCTGGAAATTTTCCATAAAGAACATGGTATGACTTACACTGTACCACATCCCCAAAGTCCAAAACACGTTTTTCTCTAGCACCAGAAAAGATCACTTAGGCAGCGGTTCAAGTAGCTGGCTCATGTCTGGAAGCCAAATCGTGTGGGAAAAGATGTTTTTGTTGGTTGCACGTGTGTATTTGAATTTGCGTAAGGTAAACGCAATGTATGACTTCACTGTATTTTACGCCGTCTGAGGACACGTTAATTTTTACCCTATCACATTACAGCCCACGATGGCAATCTCTTCTCTCCACTCCTCGAACTAGATACACCATTTTGAGGGTGTCTCCCTGAAAACGCACCCCCACCCCCTCCACCAATCAGATTTGCCCTACCTGATGCGGTTCTTTTGGCCACACCCTATTGGCTGAGCAGTACATCCCCAAGCCAGGCCAGACCAATCAGCTTTCTCTTCTAACTCAAGCTGGGCTAATGCTATCTTTGCCATTGGTGCTTGAAAGATGGCCACTGGGATGCCACGCAGATCGTTCCTTAACGGCACTGGAGCTGAAAGTCGATGCAGTTCCAGGGCTGGAGTGGCCATTTCCCCACTCGTGCTCAGAAAAACAAAAACCAGCCTTCAGAAGAAGGGTGGGGGTAGATACACAACAAGAAAGACAAGAAACCAGGACTCCCAGAGAGACAGTGACACGGACACCACAAGCCCCCTAGTCATCGCCTTCCTCTACCGTATGGGCTGAAGCCTGAACGCCTTGATTGCACAGCCTCCCTTGCAACTAGAGCTGGCCATGTTGTTCAGTTCTGGCCAATGACCTGTGAGCCAAGGCCCGTGGGGAGGACTTACCTTCTGTAATAAAAGGCAAGTCTCCACTAGGAAAGAGTATTTTGCCCTTTGTCCCTTTGCCTTGTCTCCTTTTTCATCCCTGGAGCTCAGGCTTGGAGCTGGAGCGGCCATCGTGGGCAACGTCAGGCAACGGGCAAGAGGCCGGCGCTCACCTCCAAGGACAGAGGAGTGAAGGACGAGGAAGGCCTGGCAAGTGCCTGGCGGCCGCCCTGAACTCCACGCCGTGCCTGCATTGCCTCCCTCTGTACCTGCTGCCGTGTCACACAAACCCCTGTTTGAGCCACCGCAGGCAGGCGCACCCGTTTGTGCCATGGAACAAACCGCTCAAAACTTAGTGATGGAAAATGACAAAGATTTATTATTTCTCGTGGGTCCGTGTGTCGAGCCATGATTCCACGGCACTTGTACTGATCTGGGCTGGCTTGGCTGCAGTTGGATGGTTTAGGGTGACCCCACTTACATGCCTGGTCGCTGGTAGGCAAGTTGGGTTAAGGGGGTGGCTCCCATACAGGGGCAAGTTTTGCACCCCTCCCCGCAGGGAACACTAGGGCAACATCTGGACACAGTTTGGGTTGTCACGACTGGAGGGGTCCAAGGATGCTGCTGAACGTCCCAGAGTGCACAGAACGGCCTCCCCACGGCAAAAACTCACTTGATCCAAAGTGTACCAAGAATGAGAAATTCTGGCCTAGAGAGGCCTCAGCCGGGACCTTTTGGTTCCGTTTGTCATGGCCTCTCATCACTGAGCAGGCTAGACCAGGCCTTTTCACAGGGCGGTGGGCACGCGTTCCCAGAGCAGCAGGAGAGAGCAAGCCCCAAAGCACAAATACTTATCAAGTGTCTGTGCCTGGTGTTGGTTAGCATCCCATCAAACAAAAGCAAATCACACGGCCAGAGTCATTTTGGGAGGGACTCCAAATTTTTACAGTCTGCCCACATTCGGTTTTCTGTTATTTGAAGCTGAAGGCATTCCAAGGACACAGACTGATTACCTTGATTGCTGACGACTGTCTGGTTCCCAGTTTTTTTGGGGGGGAAGGCCAATTTCAATGCCTGCCCTTGGGTTCCACTAGGACCCTTTGTATCACTTAAGATTCTTTGGGTGCCAACAACAGAAACCTCCTGTAGCTCACTCCCGCGGAAAGGGAGTTTACTCACAGAAAATGAGGAAGCTTAAGAATCAAAGGACAAACAAAGCAGAAGAGGCAGGGCGGTCAGGAGCCGGCTTTTCTTCCCCCATGGATGCCCGCCTTTCCCTTCCGCTGGTTTGACTTTCTGTTGTTTGCAACCAACATCTCCTTTACCGAGACACTGCCTCCACTGGTGGCTGGGAGAAGCTGCCTGCAGCCTCTCCCCCGGGGTAGAGGGTACCTGCGGTCCCCAAAGCCTCCCAATCTTCTGGTCCCCCAAGAAGCTAAGGCAAACAACTTCCTTCCACCCTCGCCGATGGTGGCCTGTTTGGATTCTTGGATTCGTGACTTCACAGATAAGATGCCCTTCTCTAGCAGCTTTTGGCAAAGCCACCCATGCCTGCTGCTGTGAAAACCAGAGTCATGAGTGTCTGCAGAAAAAAATAGCTTCCAGATCTGCATTCCAAAGCGTGCTCCTGGTGAGTTGGAATGGTTTCCAGTTTTTCTGGGTCTTAGGAATGAAACTAACGAGGAGAGGAAACCCCAAACCCGCTAATGCTAACGTACGTGTCCCCCTGTTTCGTGCTGAGGCCTCCTGACACAGGAGGTGGGGCGCCCAGGGAGGGCAGGCCGTTTCGGCGCATCAAACCTGCGCTCGCTTCCGTCAAGATGTGCCATTTGCGCCCGTGTGCTCGGTGTCCTAAGCTATTTGGGGCCAATTCATGACCCCACGCGCCTGCTTTGGTTTTTCAACATGTTGTTCCCCCAGGAACCCTCCACGACGCCTCTGCCTGTATCCCATGGCAGGAAGCAGTAGAAGGCCCCCCATTTTGAGTTTCCTCTCCTCTTGAGACTGTTGCTTTCGTTACTAAGACCCTACGCTATTGGAGGCAGAAATTTTATCTTCCGTATGACTGCGGCGTTATCGTCATAGAAATCAGAAGGGCTGTTTGATAAATCACTTTTTAATTTTTTATTTAATTAAAAAAATTTTTTTTAACATTTATTCACTTTTTTTTTTAATTTTTTTTTTCAACGTTTATTTATTTTTGGGACAGAGAGAGACAGAGCATGAACGGGGGAGGGGCAGAGAGAGAGGGAGACACAGAATCGGAAACAGGCTCCAGGCTCTGAGCCATCAGACCAGAGCCCGACGCGGGGCTCGAACTCACTAACAGCAAGATCATGACCTGAGCCAAAGTGGGATGCTTGACCGACTGAGCCACCCAGGCGCCCCTGTTTGTTTGTCTTTAGATTCCACTTCTGTGTGAAAGCTTATGGGTTTTTTTCTGTCTTAGTCTGACATATTTCGCTCAGCATAATACCTCTAGGTCCATCCACATCGTCTCAAAAGTGGTGATCCCACCCTTTTCGCGACTGTGTAATATTTTGTTATATATATATATATATATATATATATATATATATATATATATACATATATATATATATACATATCATCTACTGATGGACACTTAGGTTGCTTGTCTTGGCTATGGGAAATAATACTGCAGTAAACATAGGGATACAAATATCTTTTTGATTTAGTGTTTTCATTTTCTCTGGGTAAATACTCAATAGTGGAATTTTTGAATAACGTGGTATTTCTGCTTTTAATTGAGGAACCTCCATACCGTTTCCACAGTGGCTGCACCAATTCACATTCCCACCAACCGTGTACCAGGGTACCTTTTCCTCCTCACCAATACTTTGTTATTTCTTATCAGCCATTCTAGCAGGTGGCAAGTGATATCTCATTTTTGTTTTGATTTGCGTTTCCCTGATGATGAGTGATGTTAAGCATCTTTTCATGTGTCTGTTGGCCATCTGAACGCCTCCTTTGGAAAAATGTCTATGCAGGTCTTCTGCATTTTTTAATTACATAGTTTATTTTTTTAATGTTTATTTTTGAGAGAGACAGAGACAGAATGTGAATGGGTTGGGGCAGAGAGAAGGAGGCACAGAATCCGAAGCAGGCTCCAGGCTCCGAGCTGTCGGCACAGAGCCCGACGTGGAGCTTGAACTCACGAGCTATGGAATCGTGACCTG